CTGGATTCGGTGTTTAGGCGCATGTTGGCTGCACGTCTGTTGTACCTGCATTGTCTTTTTCATGCGCACACAAATGTAGGTGCCAGATAACATCTGTCGACAACGAATCCTAAACAATCACAAAAGTGGATCTAATTCCAAGACTTCGTAGACCAGAGAATATCCACGCCCGCCGCACACGTGGGCGCTAAAAACGGCACGCCTTGCCTTAGCGGGGTTGGTGCCAATGCCTTGGAAAGCTGCATCCTTCGCTGCAACATCCCAAACATCAATCATACCATCTCTTTAAGCATTTTCGACACCGCTGACTACGTTCATACCCGCCAAAATGTCACCCATATCGCGCATGGCGCGCCTCCTCCTCATCCTCCACTCCATCGTCAACATAGCCCTCGGCGTTTACCCGTTCATCAACCCTGAAGAGTACTCTGCAATCACCGGTATGGAGGGTCCAGATAAAACGCTACAATCGATCGGTAAGTCGAGGATTAGTTTCAATGTATACCCAACCCTGGACTAACGAGAGGAAAAAGGCCTCGGCGCAGTAGCAGTAGGCTGGTACCAACTCATCTTTACCTTCCAGGGTAACCGTCGCATGATGGCTTCGACCATCCCGCTGAGATTGGGGTTTGCGGCTGTCATGTATGGGTGGGAGAGGCAGCCTGTTATGATTTATGAGTTGATTGTTGTGTGGTTTTGTTTACTGGGGGTGTTTGCTTAGATATGGGAAAGGTGGAGGGAAAGAGAAGGATGGTGGTGGGCAAGACGAAGGAATGGGAAGAAGCGGGAGAGACAGTTGGATAATGATGACGATAAGCTATCAGAGTCAAGAAGCTTGATCTATGATCGAATTGCATACAAGCAGACACATCATCTATGCACACGCTTCACACAACCCCTCTCCTTCTCAGTCCCTCAACCCATGCATACCTCAACTCCACTTCACACTCCCCCCAGCCTTCCCCTCCAACCCCCACCCACCATACGTATCCACAAACCCCTCTCTAGTAAGATACTCCTTGTGCTCCTCGCTCCTCCACGCGAGCGCAGTCCCCAACTTCCAACTCGTATCCATCTTATCCAGCACCAGCTCCACAAGCTGGACGTTCTGCGGGTTTTGCAGCTGCGGTTTCTCTAGGATAGCGGAGAGTTCTGATAAGGTGGTTGCGCGGTGGAAGGAGGATTCGGGGGAGGGGTGGCGGTAGAGGGGCAGGAGGTGCGAGTAGTTGTGCGGGACGATGTCGTTGTATGCTGTATGCGATGGTGGTTAGTTTGATGTTGCTCGCGTGTAAAGAAAGAAGGAAGGAAGGAGAAGAGCACTTACGTTGCCTCGCCCCCCAAATCAACCTCTCAACCGTATACCCCTCATTATTAATCACAAAAACAATCGCCTTACACTTCGCCTTGATCATCGTCCCAATCTCCTGAATCGTCAAAGCCATGCTTCCATCTCCCGTCATGAGAATAGTCCGTCCCTCTCCTTTCTTGTCGAGCTCCCTCCGCGCTATATCCACACCTAGCGTCGCAGCAGTAGCAAACCCGATACTGCCATAGTAGATCTGCGTTACGAGCCTGATGTCCGCTGGGAAGTCAATGTCACATAGACCGAAATTCGAGGTTCCGGTTTCGCTGACGAGAGCGTCGCCTGGGCGGATGAAGGATTGGATGGCGGGCCAGAGTTGAGATTGCGTTAGGTGGGCTGATTTTGCGTCGAGGGGTGTGCGCGGTGGTGGGAGTTGTGGTTTGGGGATTTTGTGTTGGGGGGTTGATGGTAGGGCGGTGGTTAGAGCTTCGAGGAGGGCTTTGATGGGTGTTTTGGGGTGGGATTTGCCTTTGACCTAGGAAGTATGTCAGTAATAGACGTCAGATGAGGTATGCGAGGGACTTACAACAACGTCGTGTGGGTTGATGTGGATGGTGTTGGTCTCGTCCAAAGGTCTTGAGAAACCGGCCGAGTTCGTATCAGCAGGTATGTACCCCAGAGTCACCACCAGATCTGCTTGTTTCGCTGCTTCTTTGACACCCGGAGAACTGACTTCGCCGTTCCATACCCCAAAGAAGTTCTCTTCTGTCTCATCGACAATGCCCTTGCCCATGGTTGCTGAGAAGAAAGGAACGTTGAGTTTGCGGACTAGCTGCGCGGCTTCCTGGACAGCGTTGAAACGATGGACGAGAGCGTCTACCAGTACTGTTGGCTGCTTGGCTTCAGCGACTGCGGCCACGATAGCTTTGACCGCTTCATCCCGCGCCTTCTCATCCACATGTGGCGCAAGATCAATCGGAGTTTCCAATAACCCAGCATCTACCATCTCGGCACTCAGATCCAGCGGCAAGAAGATGTAGACAGGCCCACTCTTGATAACGCACTCCCGTAGCACTCTATCAATCTCCTTCGGTGCATCTGCAACATCCCAGAGTTCTGCAGCCGCGAACCTCAGCCCCTCGCTAGCCTTGTTGTACATTTGGTGATTTGGCTTGTTTCCAATACTGTGGTGGATCATCATGTTGTTCTTCTGCATGGCCCGCGTAGTTTGCCCAACAACATGGACAACTTTAACGTGTTCACTCATGCTACCTGCGATGCCGTTCAGAGCTGAAAGTTCACCCACACCGTGCGTGGTCACGAGACACCCGGGCGTATTCTTGATGCGGGCGTAACCATCGGCGGCGTAGGCAGCGTTCAGTTCGTTTTGGTTGGTGACAAAGGTTAGGCCTGGAGTGAGATAGATGGAATCGAGGAACTGCAGGTTGAAGTCTCCGGGTACACCGAAGATTGTGTCGACGCCGACTTGGTGGATACGCTCCCACATGTAGCGGCCGAGGGTTATCTTGTTGTCTGCCATGACGGGCTGTCCTCTAGCTCTTCCTCCTTTTAAGTGTTGCAGGTCTCAAGTGACTAATCAATACCACTGTATTCCACGTCTGTTAGTTGTGTTGGTGTTGTAACCCTTGCGAAGATATAGTCGCGACAAGCTTACCGTGTGCTGTGCCGAGGATTCCGAATGAGGCAGATACGTAAGCAAGATTTAGAAGAAGAGCAGGAACAACGCGGAACATGGACGCTAAACACCATAACATTCACATGATGTTAGCATCTGTCTAGGGCGCACGTAAGGCGTATGACAACCGCGGTTCGGTTGGAGACGGTTAGCGGAGTAGTACAGTGCGGGGAGATCGGCTCAACATCGGAATGATATCGGAAACAAATAGCTGCGATTAGAACATGACAACTAGAGCTTCAAACGGAAAACACCTCGTAAACGATGCTGAAGTTCCTTGATAGCTTGAACCTCTACCGATCACGCGCTTTCTTCTGTCGTCCCCGCAACGGAGTGCTTCTTTGCATCCTCGAAGCTCGCCATCTTGAAATCGTACGGCAGCTCAAAGTCTGCCTTCGGATCTCCCTCAAAAGGATTGAAATCTACAAGAAGGGAATCCTTGACCGCAAAAACGGCATCGTCGTCGATGTACTTGCTCGTTCGGTCGAAGATCTGAGTAACAATAGGTTTGTAGCCCGGCGCTGTGAGCTAAGATAAGTTAGCACATCAGGCTGCACCTTCGTCATAGGCTTCACATACCAGGAAGTGTATATGCGCCGGCCGCATCGGATGCCTATCCAGCGCTTGCAACACTTTGCCTGCTGGCCCATCGAAAGGTATAGGATAAGGTACCGGCCTCAAGCAGTAGAAGCTATACTTGCCGTCCTTGCCCGTCGTGAACCTACCTCTGAGATTCATCTCTGGTTGGTCTGGATCTTGTTGTTCGTATAGGCCATTCGGCGCCGTATGCCATACGTCCACCACCGCACCCTCGATAGGCTGCCCGGTTCTAAAGTCCGTGACGGTGCCGTGCATGAATGTCCGATCGCCTTGCTCATTTATCTCCTTAGACACGATGCAGGAGCCCATGGGCAGCTTCGGGGCATCATGGCGGTAGAAGGGGCCTAGAATCGCAGTCGCGGTGGGTTCGTCGGCAGCGGTCGAGGCGAGCTTGTACGTGATCTCATCGACGAGCGATTCGAGGCCGAGGATATCGCAGAGCAGTTGGCCTTCGTTGCGTTTGGCGTCTGACATGCGACCTGCTGCATTCATCTGCCCATCGTTAGTACGTCGAGCTATATTCTCAGGATATTCAACATAGAACGCTCTCGACGTACCAACTCCACTCCTGTCATCCACTCATCGACCGTGAGTTCATTCTCCCTCGCAAAGTCATGAAGATGCCGTATTAATCCCGCTGTGAGCTGTCTGACCCTAGGTGTAGCTTTCGGTCCCGTCGCATTGATTACCGCCTGAGTGAAATTCGGATTGAACTTGTGATCCTGGCTATCCGATACCGCGGAAGGGTGGTGAGCTTGTGAAGCTTGTGCTTCTTCCGGCATGATGACGTCCTTGATAAAGAGTTTCTGAAGCTGCACTTGAGTTCATCAAAGGACAGTATTGTCTTTCCCTCTGTGCGATTGCAATTAGACCTAAAGTGCTGCGCAGTAAACACGGTTCAGATGTTAGCAAACAGCGAACGATTAGCAGTACGATCGAGATCCGACAGCCGGCAGCATGTCGGCCAGTCAAGCACACCAGCGCAAGGCGCATAACTTCAGGGTTCGCCGTTGGCTTGTACTTTCGTACGACATAGCACGGTGGGGCTGTGGAGCGAAGGTGTGTATGGCGTCGATGGTAGACGCAGACGGAAGCTGTTGTCGGTGCGGCTTTCCGACGAAGGTGCGGCTTCCGAGACTGGGATCCTCGGGACTTGGCCAATGGAAGAGTGACGGGTAGTAAGCATATACGACGACTGTCGTAGGTGTGGTAACACAATCGTGCAGGCTATTGTGACCATGGACGCCCAATTGGGCGTGGTGAATTTTGTATTAAGAAGATTGAGCCAGATCAATGATGACCGTTTTGGTCGCAGTAAAATGCTACAATATTGCACTAGCAACTCGAGCTATGCAAAAGACCCAAACGCCTAAAATATGTCTCGATAATGCTAAAAGACGTTCAATCACTGTCATCATCAACCCTGGCGCGCTTGGCTGATCTGCCCTCCGGCTCCTGGATGCCGTAACGCTTCTCCCCCGTCTTCTCGCCTTTCTCACCACGAACCTCGTCAATCATCTGGTTAATGTTGAACGGATCATCAGTGTCCTTCTCAAACTGAACTGGTCCGTCCCGGGCTTCTTGCAGATCCGCACCCTTGAAGCCCTCCTTGGCCTTTCCAAGAACTTCGAACTTGCTCGACTTGGTGATCCGGTCGTATGTCTGCCCCTCGTCCTCTCCGTCATCCTGCTGTACACTCGGACGGTAGATGCTGCTGATAGCATCCTGAGCTGCGAAGAGAGGCTTGTCGTAGTGGTTGTCCTCGTTGAAACCAGCGTTGAATCCGCTGGACTGGTTGAACAGCCGCGAGTCGTACATGGACTCCCCGCTCTGTGTCGGCTTTGCCAGACCGAGTGCGACCTTTTCAGAAATATCACGATTCTGCTCCCGAGCCAGCATCTGGATCTTGCGCTCGGTACCCATCCGCGACTGACGGAGTTCGCGCTGGAAGTCCTCGCGCCTTTCCTTGCGAGCGTCCATTCGCTTCCGCACTGCCTCTTCTTCCGAATCAGTGTCCGATTCGCTCTGTGATCGTCTTCGGGAGGTGTTGGCGCGCTGTTCTCGTGCCTCCTTCGCCAGGTTTCGCAGGTGCTCCTCCTTTTGTAGCTTCTCCTTCTCCGCTAATCTTTGCTGCATGATCGCACGCTGCTTAACCTCCTCTCGTGCATGTCTGTCGGCTGCCTGCAACGCTTCGCCAAATTGAGCAAACTTGTCGTTGATCGTGATATCCTGCAACCCCCGACCATCGGCTGCTAGACGTTTGTCTAGTGGCACTGTGTATCCCTTGGGGTTCTTCCAGTTACTGATTGGGGGTGGAATCTTCCAAAGTTCTTGGTCTTCGGCGGTCAGCTTTCGCGGCGGCGAGTGCAGAACGGGTGGGGGAGGCGAAGGTGGTCCGCGAGGAATGCGCTTGTGCTTGAACTTGGGCGGCTCCATGGGATCGATCTGTCTTTGCTGGATCTTGATGATGCGCGTCTGGCCCTGGGCCTGGCCATGCTGAGCCGTGGGTGTATATCTGACGAAAGTCGGCTCATCGTTCTTTCTGCCCTGTACGTTCTTGGGCCGTTGCGCGGCAGTCTGCCCTTGAACCAGTGCCATGAGGGCCTGCTCAGTCTTCTCCTTAGTTGCTTGGACAACCTCCGCAGAAGGACGCGACAAGTCCAGCTCGCCAGCGTCTGCCTGTTGGCGCAGAGGAATGAGGTCCTTGAAGCTGGCCTGCACAATCCTCGAATCGCCGTGTCCGCGTCGCGCAATCTCGTCGTACTTGGTCTTGCCCTCGCCGTCGACTCTCCTCACGAGCGCGTTGGATGTGGATGGTTGGCCCTTCTTTCCCATGTCGAGCGGGTACTGCGCGACGAGTACTTCCGGAAATGCGCCTCCATCGCCAAAGTCTAGAGATGATGTCAGTACATCTCCCATGTGTCTTCCATACGTGTTTTGCTTACCTTCAGGCGCGCGGGGCCTCCAGTGCTGCCTCTGGCCATAGGGCGGCGGGCCCTTCTTCGCGACTACTTGCGCTTCATATTGCTCTGCGGTTAGCACGCGCGTGCTGTTGGTGAGCTCCTCCTCTTCGCCCGAGTATTTTGGCTTCGGCAGCGACTTGGACAAAGCTGCAACGGACATGGTCGGTGTAGGCGCGACGGCAGTTCGCGATGCAATGAGGGTTGGGTATCGCGGTTGGCACTGGTGGTGGTGATGATGTTGCTGGGCAAGATTTCATCAGACCCTCGGCGTTCTGGTTCAGCCACCGCCGAGGTCACGTGCTCATGGCTGCCCCAACCCAGCACGTCCACTTTCTACTATGTAGGTACTCTGCCCTTTACAACGCAACAGCCAATCAATGATGCGAAGCGCGCAATTCCGACTGTCATTAAGTAGCTTTCACTATCGATATAAAATCTGAGCCAGCGAACCTTGTGTTGTGCGCGAGATTACAGTGTCTGCTACAGGAGTGAGGATGTCTGGCCTTAATCTTCACGACTCAGGCGCCGGTGAATCTTACCTGCGACTGACATGGGTAAAAGTCCCGTCCGTCGCTGCTACTCGCTTACAACCTGCCGTTGACCAGGATGGCGAATGCAGGAACAGAGTCAGTCAGCACAATGTTTTTGCAGTCACAATCGTGATCTGTTATCTCGGGAGAAGCTTGGAAGCGGTTCCTGCTAAGGGCCAAGCGGCGGTGTGCGTTCACCGGACGAAATGAGAGCCAGCATGCTTTTTGGGCCAGACACGCACAATGGCGAGGTAATAATCGCGCAGGTAAAGGTCAGCTTGCAGGGAAAGTTAGTCGGGTAGAGGCGTCTTTGACACGCTGGTAGTCGAGAGAGGCGAGCGAGTGATGTGCGATATAGGGTGCGATATAGGTTAAGGGCAGAGCACGGCTAGTCGCTGCACATCATGCCGTTGCTAAGAGACGGTTTCGAAGGCGGCCATTCGTTCCAGAAAGGACTGTGACATCTCGTGCAGAGTGGCCCGGGACCCTAGACGCAAACGGCCAAGGTCAAGATGCTAGGGATCCCCAGCGTCGCAGCATCAACCTCTGAACTTTGAAGAGTGAATTGGCAATATTCAACGGCTCGCGCGCGGACTGTGGGTCGCAAAAGCAGCCATGACGGGCTGAGTATTCTGAAACGTTGTCCGCCATCCCTGTCTGGTGTGCCAGCGCAGGCCTGCAGCTATGCCGACCCATTCTCGGAAATCGTCTGGAGGAGCACCACAACACACCACCACCCAGCGGCGCAACTCTTTGTCGCAGAGCACGCCCCCGAGCAAGCCCACCCACGCCCGCACCAACACGGCCCCGGAGCCGCCCACGCTGTTGCGCCTGCCGTCAGTCAGCGCCGCGTCCGCCCGCCGTCCCCCAGCCTCGCACAGCGGCCATGGCATAGACAACTCGCGCGGCCCTCCCGTCACCCTCGTCACTCGCAGCCGCAGCTCGCAGAACCCCGCCGACTTTGCCTATGCGCAGCAGCAGTTCCTCCAGTCCGGCCTGGTATCCCCCACTAGCTCCCACCCAGGCACCTCCCCCAGCGAAGCCCCGCGACCACCACAACAAACAGGCGCTGTAGACCCGGCCACCCGCCCCCGACCCCACCCCCGACGAGCCTCGACCAGCAGTGCGAGGCCCCCGCCGCGACGAATGGCGAGCTCCACCGACGAGTCGTCCGAGTACGACTCTGGCCCCCGCAGCCGCATGGAGGACTACCACGCGGCGCATAGCGGACGGGGAGCGCCTGCGCCCGCGACGCCAGGAACAGACGGCGAGAAGGAGGACCTGTTCCTGAACATCGCCGCCGACAGTGCGCCCAAGCCGCCGCGCCCAGAGAACCCGACAGCGCGCGACCGATTGAAGGTGAGCACCAATGGAGCTACGGTATGCGCATGGATGGTAGCTAACGACCCAGTCACGAGTCGCCCGCGTCAACAACCGGCAGTCGCTCCCCTCAGCCCTGCAGTCGCCCTCGCCCGTCCAGGTCCAGTCGAGCTTAGTCACACCAACCACCAGCAGGATACCCTCCAGCGCTGCCCTCGAAGCCAGGTCCAGCGGCATACGCCGCTCATCACTTCTGCCCACCCCCTCCAGATACGAGCGGTCGCCGAACTCACCTGCACCCGAAGCCATACGGACCCGCGACCTCAACCACAAAGCCTCCTTCAGCTCCACCCGACGCGACTCTGAGCTCTCACCGCGCGACTTCCTCGCCCAGTTCTCAAACTCAACGAGACGGGGATCTCAGCCTGAGGTACATCAAACCCCGCCCAGTCGCACCCCGGTCCACCCCTACAGGCCGTCGAACCTGTCACACGAGCCGCGCACGCCGCAGGTGGAGACATCGTTTGAGGCTGGTTCGCGCGCCGACGGTACCGAGTCACATGGCTCTACAGGGCCGGCCGCGTCTGTGTGGGACGAGCTGGACGAGCTCAAGTCCAGGATACGGAAGATCGAGATGGGCGGCAAGATACCCTCGACGTCGGGTGCCATTGTAAACCAAGCATCGGCTGAGCGCCCGCGGACGGCCAACACCTCAGCGACGACAGTCTCTTCTTCACCGAATCAGCAACGAAAGTCGAATCCGTCGCCTGCCGAGTCTACAGTAGGCACTCACACTCCCAATAACAACAAAACCCATCCTCTGTTGCGCGAAGCTCTCGGTAAAGCTAGACAGTACGTCTCTCCAACCGTCTACCGCAACCTGGAAGCGACTGCAACCGAAGCACTTGCGCTGGCAGAGATGAGCGGCAGTGCAGGACCGCAGGGCACACTACACTCTGCTAGCTCCATCATCAATGGCTCTGTCGTCTCAGACCGCCAGGTTCGTCGCAAAGCCGACAACCTCTGTCGCAGTCTCACCGAGCTCTGCATTGCTCTGTGCGACACCAAGACCGGTCTTGCCAGTCCAGCCTTCCGATCAAACACAGCCACGCTATCACGTCGGCCGAGCGTACAGATCAATGGCGATTCACCAACGATCCGACAGAGCATCGAACCCGAAAGCAACACATTATCTGGCGTCAGCCCCAGTAGAGCCATGTCACGCATCGAGGCTCGGAGAACCAGCATGCTTATCGATGACTCCGGCCGCAGCCAAAGAGGAGGCAGCCAGGAACCTTACGACGATAGACACACTCCGTCACGCATGCAACGAGCAGGCACCAGTCTCCACCAGACACGCAACAGTGTGGACGAAGAAGACGAAGATCCAATCTTCCGTGCGCCTTCCCGTGCGATGACTTCAATCGACTTTAGAGCCCGTCACGGTGGTCAGTCAGATCAAAAACGATTCACCGGTGGCAGACAGTACACCTCCCGCGAACCATTGCCTGATCTGCAGCCATCACCCGCTCTTCAAACTACCGCCAGTCTCCGCCGGCCCAGTGTCTCAAGTAGCACGCCCTCCAACGAACACAGTCTGTTGTTCCGAGATAACCAAAGCCGCTACGGTCACAATCTAGGCCGTGAAGGCTCACCAGCCAACTACGAGAAGACCCTGACGGGAGGACTTCGACCAAGAGCACAACTGAGCGTCGCTCGAAACCCAAACAACAGACACTCGGTTGGTGGTGTTTCGGACATTGGGCGCAGCGTGAGTCTGGGGAGACGACTAAGGGGAACAAGTATCGGAGAGTGAGCAAAGCAAAGCTCTCGCATTTCTTTGAGCTTGCGTTAACGTTTGACGTTACCCTCATAGTATGCCCAGTCTCCTCTTTGGTCCACGCGCGATGACCCCGCGATTCACATACCTGAGACCGGATTCGCCATGGGCACACCAACAGAGGCGCGCCGTAGAACACCGAGTCAGTACAAAGATACAGGGACAGACGCGCACGGAGACATGTTAGAAGGGAGTATCTGCTTTATTCAGCCTTGCAAGGCTAAGAAGTCTGTGCGATGTACCACGAAGGAGTTTCTACCAAGCATTGTGAGAGAAAGAGCGTTCTCACGAATTTGCATATTTTGCCATCAAAAGGGGCTAACTACGGAGCATTTTGTTATCAGCGTTTCTTGCACGTAAGGGGACAAGCGTGTGGGCGCAGGATCGATTCACCGTCAGCATCTCATGATCTCTTTGTCTTTTTTTTTCGTTTGCCGTTTTCGTTAGTTCCATATACCAACACCAGATCGTGTTTTTCCTTGCTACTTCTTCTTCCTCTTCAAAACATGAGTGCTGAAACTTCGTGTACATATATCAAAATCGTCTTTTCCTCTGTGAATATATATATCAGTTACGAACCCCTTTTATGCATCTATGAAATGAAGGCTGACACAATGCTCAAGGTTACGGCTCCACCATCGCAGACCGGATTTTAGGAACGAAACGCAATGCCCACACTTCCACTGCTTCGGCGCGCCTGACATGGCTAGGCTTCTGCGACCTGGAGTCCTTTTGAGTGAATTCCACGAATACAATGAAGAAGGTCTACTGCTGGCTACGAATCGGACTCTCGCAGCATTGTTCATTGCTGGCTGTTAACTGGACAAGCCGCCGCTTGTCGGTAATACTGACCATTCACAAAGGCCTTGTAGTTAATTGCAAGATGTATGTGGGCGGTTCCCCCATATTCTTTGGATGACCCACACCCGAACGCAGGCAACCATGGAACGAATGTACCGTACACACCGAAATGTCTGAATCGCATGGTATTCATTTAAGTTCAGGACCCCTTCTTCTGTTCACCGCTGACTTCACTTTATCTGAATGCTCTGGCATCCCTGAATCCGTGCTGTGAAACAATCACGCTCTTTGCGCTGGAGCAAACAGTGTGTAAGAGCGCACCGACCCACATTCACCTTCCATGGACCTTTTCTGTTGTGGTTTTATGACGCAGCGCCGCTCGCGCCGTTCCTCGAGTTCTTCTACTGCGACTCTTGACCACGACACCACCCCAGCAAATACGCCTTTTGGTCAGCCCGCAACTTGCAATCCGCACACGACCGACACAGACTTGCACTCGCCTTTGGATTTAACTGCAGCAAACTCGCCATCAAGCGCATCCGCCACCGCTTTAGCGCCTGAGCCAGCAGTGTTTGTCAATTCGCAGGCCTTCGCAAACGCCCCCATTACGCGAATCCCCACCACTTTCAAGCGCACACACTCCCCATCGCCAAATCGTAGCATTCCAAT